AAGTGGGAGAACTTGCACAATTGGTGGCTGACTAAATACTTTTTTGCCCCACTGTAGCTAGCTGAACAGTTTTCTTTTTGAAGGACAAAGACTTTGAATTCTGACAATAACAAATTTTACAATCGATAATTCACATCACTTACTTGTTCTACTGTTGCCCTGTCTGATTTATCTTTCACCCGGTACCTAGTAGAAACAAAACTTTGCATGATCCATTGTGCCAGAACAAAATATAAACACTGAAGCAATATGACAGCAATATAAAAATATTCTGGTCAGAAAAACAGGACTTAAAAACTAAATGTTCTCCCATCATTAAAACCATGGATCTTTGTAGTGCAACTCACACAGACTTCAAAACAGCAATCTTAGGGTAGTTTTCACAATTATAAAACAGTATCACCATTAGATAGAAACATGCCAAAACAAAATTGGAAATAACTTAATTTACCAAGCCAATCTTAGCCTCACTTTAAGGAATGCATGCCTAGTCCTAGATGATCAGCTCCAGGCAAAAGACTCTAAGGAGCCATCCACAAGATTGCAGTGTTAATTTTACAGGCCTCTTAGAATGTAATGTATAACGTACAGTATTTCAAAACATATCAATATATTAATTTTAAGAGTGTACTACAAACCCATGCCAATCAAGTAACAGCTAAACATTCTTTACAACATTTATTTCTGCACATCCACATTACTTACATATCTGCTTCTCTTTGCCTAGACTTCTCTGTAACTTTATTTATAACAGAATCAGCAAAATGCAGCTTGTCTGGAAAACACACACACACAGCTTCAATACTGCTGTTAGAAAACAATGTGCATAATTTCATTGTGAACGTACCTCTAGAAAACATGCAACACATTTTGCAACATTTAAAGTTAGCACTGTTTTCAATTCTTATATATGTCTGTCTGTCTGCTGTTTTTTCCCCCTACCTTTCTAAAGCCACCCAATTTCTCTGTGTCTCTGGGAAATGTACACAATTAAAACCCAAAAAATACAAAAGAACATCTGACCAAAAAAAAAGACAGAGAAAGAGACAGAGAATTGTGAAAGGTTGAGTTGCCCCACTGAACTTGAGATGACGCATTGATATCAAGGGTTTTTTTGTGGGCCAAAATCAAGCTTAATGTCATGTAGACACCAAAAAGCTTGATGGATAATTAAAACATCTGCTTTCTAGCTGTAAAAGGGTGGAAACATTAAGTAATGAAAGAGAAGTTTGTTGAGTATTCCTGGAGTTGTTTTTGTATGGTGTGGTGATACTGGGTCTACCAAGGAGGAGGAATCAGCAAGAGCAAGCAGGACCTGAAAGAAGGATCTGCTGAGCAAACTGGCTGGTGGAATAGCTTTGGAGAACAGACAAGGTGGCAGTGAGGACAGCTTGACGATGGTGGTGGAATCCAGGAAGCCCAGAAAATAGTTATTTTTCTGTCTTCCTGTTCTCCTCCCTAGGATAGAAGCAAGCCCAGAAGTGAAAGCACAGAAAGGAGCTGCATGAGTGAGGGAGGAAGGGAACACAACCAAGAAGACACTGTAAAAAGTGCCATTTGATATTTACTGTTTAGAACTGTGTATATAGTTTGTCATACTAAGGCCACTGTACTGTATATATTAAGTATCACTATAAATAGAAAATAATTATACGTGCATGCCTGGAAAGTTCCTGTCCCATTTTCCCACCCTCCAACAAAGATGCTGTTCCAAAGAGTTCAAAAGCAGTCCTAAATCCATTTACATTACTGTAGCTTCCAGCTACTGTACTAGTCACAAGTGGGCAATAATATGGAAATTAAGGCAGGAGCTTAGAGAATCCATCTAATGCTGTCCATATAAAATGCATATGGAAAAGAGAAGGCAGTTATATTATTTTCATGCAGGCATATGCAATTTCTTGGGCTCTGTGAAAAGAAGTTTTGAAGAGACCAATTATACCCTCCTGAGACTGAAGGGGCTCCATGGCTTGTAACATGGTCACTGGTAACAACAAAGTGCACAGGTTCCAGAGCAAGAAGAATTTATAGCAGCTTTTTCCAAGTTGGATCCTTTAAGCTGTTTTGACCTACAACTCTTATCTTCTCTGCTAACTGATCATAACTGCTACTGTGGATGGGAGTTGTAAGTCAAAACATCTCCCTGAATAGATGTTTTAGAAGATTATAGTTACTCAAAGAGAGAGAAGACAGAACCTGCTGTGGCATGTGAAGAGATAGGACAGTGTGCTGGGGCTGGGAAAATTATTAACAAAGGTTAGGTGATAATAAAAATACCAGTTTGACATCCTAACCAGTTATTTTCCAGGTTTAATTAGAACACAGTTCTTTCAGGGTAGCAGGATTATAAAAGTGCCTCTTTCCCTTAACACCAGAATTTCCAATGCAAGGATCACCCTATTGTCTCTCATATTACATACATTAAAATTTCTCCACTGGAACTTGGGATTATAATATTATTTCAGGATAGACCAAGAATCCTTAGGGGCTAGATTATTCATTCAAATGACTTGATTTAAAGGAGAGAGGCCAAGAATAAAAGGTGTGGTTTGTTTTTCATCTACAATCTGCAAACTGCAGTGTTTTCTATCCCTTCTTCCTCTTTAGGGAAAGATATGGCTGATAATAGAAAAAAGAGAAGCTGAGACACCCTGTAGACTGGCCTGCCCTGAAAGGCACTTGTGCATGATGACCCTCACCATTTCATTATCTTATAATCCTGCTTTAGTTGTTAGTAAAATATGATTGGAAAGGTGGAACAGGAGACTAAAAGTCTATTGCTGATGAGCCAAAACTTTATTTCCATTACAGAGACAAACAAAATTCAAAGAAGGTTTTTTGTACATCTTCCAGAGTCATTTTAACGCATTCACAAGACAGATACAACATGCATCAACCCACTGAATTCCAGCTATTAAAAACTATTGCCTGAATCAGTCATTCCGGAATCCTAGAATTCTAAAAGGGGCACTTACCTAGATTGATTTTATTCTCAAACTTTCTTAGTGCTTTATCTGTAGGAGTGGACATTTTGGCTGCATTGCAGCTGGGAATCTGTTTATTGGCCTGAAAAAAAAAAAGATTATATAACTGAAATTCCATTAAAAAGCCATTCTAAATGCAAAAATCACTTTGGCAGACTCTTAATCTGAGAAACAGTTAAAAAAAAACACATACCAATTGCATGTTTGTGTCCCCAGCACTATCCCTGTTACGTGCAAAGTCTCCAGGCCTGCAAACCTTACTTAGCATGTACACTCAAGTACTGATGTAAACTTTAACCATGAGTAAGTTTGAGGGAGGAGTCTCACTAGAGAAGGAGGGAATGCACAATCCTCTGTCCCATTCCAGATCCATCAGTCAGGATTAAGGCCACAGGAGCATAAGCATCTGTACTAGCTTGCATAGGAAACACATTTCATCAAATGCAGGGAGTATTGTAAGACATGTACTTTAACGTTTGGAAGGCTAAATGCAGTGAGAGTTTGCACTGAGTTTACTGCTGAGCCATAATTTAACACAGTGTTTCTCAACCTTGGGAACTTTAAGAGGTGTGGACTTCAACTCCCAGAATTCCCCAGCCAATGAAAAGAAACCCAAAGATTTTGACAGGTGCACCTCCTTTTCTCTTTTTGCTCCCTGTGAAAATAGATCAGGATTCTATTTCAATTAGTTGGTGGCTTGGCAATGCATGCACATCAAAGAATTGGGGTTTAAAATAAAATATAGGTACAATCACTAAACAACCAAAACTCCTGGATTGTTCAGCTGGCTTCTTAAACTAGAGTTTATTTTAAACCACAATCTGTTTTGCAAATAACAATAAGCCAGAAGAGGCTAAAATGAAACAGAATTCTGGCTTACTCTTCCTCTGGGCTGTGTGAGTAGAGAAGAGAAGGAAGTGCTCAAACCCATAATCTACATGTGCCCCCTATACAAATAGCACAATGTGTACAAGTGGCACTAAGCTATGGTTCACCATCACACACTAAGGCAGCAATTAACATGATATATTTTTAAAGAAACAATGACAAAAACTCCTAAAACAATCAGCTAGCCTCTGCAAGATGCCATGACATTCTTTGCTACTCAAGAGAAAATGGAATACTTAACCATTCATACTATCAACTTTACCAATGCACTGTGACTACTTTCCTATAGAATAATTTTAAATCTTCAAATTAAAATGCCCACAAGTGTAGCTAGCAGCTGAACACATTGCCACATAAAGACTTAATTCACACATTGCAGTAACCCTGGAGAGTGGCCTGGTTTTTAAATCATGTCATGCTACAGTTTGTACCAAGCCAAAAAAAGCTATACTCACAGGCATATTATAATTCAGTGGTCTATATAAATCAGGCCAAACTCATCTAAAAGTCATAGACAGAAATCCACTTACTAGACACAAAGCATACCTGTAGGTTTCTTCCTCCAGCCACTGGATTTCGCTTTGTCAGCTTCCCCATATCATCGTCCCAATCCCATCCATCTTCCTCATCCTCAGAGCTCTCATCAAATTCATCCACATCTGCTTCCTCATTCAGATGTGACTGTTGCATTTTAACAACCACCTTCTCCTCCTGAGATGCCTGAACAACCTGTGAAGGTTCGCTATTTTTTAAAAAAAATAATATTTAGTAAACTCTTAATAAACTGATCCTATAGTGTATCAAAAGAATGTAGACACAATGGACACATTCACAAAAAGGGTGCCACAGTGGGCACATAGCTAGTCACAAAACGCCCACTTACCAGAAGACAGTAACTCTCCTGGGATGCTTTCTACAATCCCAGTGGGAACTTTGTTAAACTCAAAAGTATTGATGCAAATAAAATAAGGTGATATTGGTGCTTTACAGCATGCTAAAAACATATTTAAAAGGTCAGGTGACTCATGGTGCCTAGTGGACACCAGGGGATGGGTCTGAAGGTGCATGGATATATCAGCAAGCTAGCAGTATAACACAATTATCTGTCTAAACTTTCTTTTTCTAAGTTAAAAGTTGGGGGACCTAAAATTCTTCAGACATTGCTAAACACTAGGTCCCATTCCCCAACCTTTCATCATATTGGCCAGCACTGATGGGAATTGGAGCGTGACAAACTTTGCAATTCTATGGTACAATAATATAAATAGTATATTTTTTCATTTAATTTACTATAGCCACCCATATTTTGGTGGCAACTTTTAGAGACGCTCTGGTAGATATATCCAAGGTTTTCAGGAACTATATGCAGACCTAGGCTTCAGGTTCTGCGCTGTTGATCTATAAGAAACTGCTGGAGAAAGTTATTTCAAGATTTGGAACAAGGAACAATTTGTATGCTATAATATCCATCTCTCTCTTTCTTTCCATTCCACCTGAATCAGATGAGACAGTACGGGGACTGGACTAGTATTTGGATGAGAGTCAATAATCTAAGATTGAATTCTGACAAGATGGAGACACGGCTGATTGACACTCCAAGATCTAATTACACCCTCTTGACACAATTCCTTAGCTTTGGTGGTACATCAGACATTGGAATTCAACTCAGTTGACCACTTGACTCTTCACTCAGGGTTCTGGGTCCTTCTAGTGGAAAGGGAGCTTTTATTCTTTGTTTTGCTGAACAGTTCATTCCATTTATAGCTCAAGCCTGATTGGATTTTTGGTGATTTAGGGTTTTAAGAGCTTTGTTTAAGGCAGAGTTTCTCAACCTCAACAACTTTAAGAGGTGCAGACTTCAACTTCCAGAATTGCTGGTTGGGGAATCTGGGAGTTGAAGTCCACATCTCTTAAAGTTGCTAAGGTTGAGAAACACTGGTTTAAGGGATTTTATTTCTGTATGTATTGTCTCTGGTTATGAAGAACAGAACATAGTTCTGTCAACAAAATAATAGTTAAGTTCCTCACAATAAGGATGCAGGAGGCAAATAGCATGAACACCGAGATGACAGTGCAAGTGTTTTTGGTTATTAGATCTTTAATCTTTCAATCACACTACTGTTTTTATCTAAAGCCACTGTAATAACTCTTTGCAAATGTGGCAAATCAAGTAATTGTTTTCTTAAATGTGTACAAGACAACAGGGACCATTCTCTGATAATAAAGGACAAGAATGATGAATAAAAAGTGAGCAATATTTATCTAGCAGAGCTCAGTTGCTTCTATAATCTGAAAATCAGCTAAATTGCTCATTTCTGCATTACCTGTCTGAAGCATCAGCATCATCAAATTGTCCTGGGACTATCAAGCTCATAATTTCTTCTCTATAATTCATTACTGTTGTTAAAGGATCTCTGATGCACACTGTCTGTGCTGTACTCCCAGTCTTCTATAAAAGAATTATATATATGGATGCTATGAAGAGACAGCATATTGCACATTATAATGTGTATATGGTATACTTGATTATACAGACATTGCAAATGATTGACAGAGCATATCCTAATTCTGCATGTTCTGAGTTATGTGTTATAACCTGTGGATAACCCATAGAATGTAACTTGCTATATAAACTGTCCTGTTATGCATGAGGACCGATACACATGCATTACAATTTGCACATTTAGAAACATGAAGAGGATTTTACATGAGCAAAATTCAGGCATTTTTGCAGGCACATAAAATCACTTCCCCTGGCTATGTTTAAAGTTCGTCTGATGTGGCTCCAAATTTCAAGGGGAAAAATCCAACATCAAATTCCCCCCCTCCCTTGCTACCAACCTTTGTGATCAGGAATCTCTGACTCTGGAAGCCATCCCAAAGAAAGCATAGCAGAGATTGGTTGACAGGAAATTAAAATTAAGGAGCTCAGGACTTCCAGTTTTTCTGTGCACATTGCATTTGGGTGAGATAATAGTAGTAATAATAATCTGCTGCCAGGCAAGAGGCACAGAGATGATCTTTTGTTTCCCCTTTACATCTCAGCAAACTTGAAATTTCTGTAGCGGGAATATCATACCAAAATAAAGGATACAAATACCTCTAGTAAACAATGGGTGGTGAGAACCAGTATAAACATGAATGGACCTCAATAGAATCAGCGCACTCCATACACGGCCTTCCCAAAAGCATGGAATGGATTTTGAATGAGCACAAAAAGGGCAATAATATTGTTTATATTGCATCTCCTGTGGCATAATCACTCCTCTGGTGCCACCATTTCACTCTTTCAACTCTCCTGAAGACTCACATTCTCTTCTTCCTCTAGCCTATGGCATCATTCCTGTCACATACTTGATATTCTGCTCAAAAGGCTGACATTTTACTCCCAGACTTCTCTTTCTCTAAGGACCCTTGTTTCAGCCTTGGGTCTGTCCTTCTCATTGTCCTCAGCCCCCTCATTGGTCTTCTGCATCTTTTCTTCAGGAAGACTAAGCATTTCTGTCTCAGTGCTATAATATACTGAAATCATACTAAAGCAAGGATAAGAATTATTTTTTAAGTAAGGTAAGAGGAGAGGCAACATAAACCATCTTTTCTAAAAATAATTTCTTTTTCTTTGGCCCATTTCCTTTCCAAACCTATTTCATACTTCATTTGTAGCTCCTGTGTAGCTTGCACTGATTTCAACGGAGTCCAGTTTTTGTCAATAGCCATTCTCTGCCCCCATTACTCAGCATAGGTCTTCAGAGAATTGGCATTATTTCACAAAGGCATTATTGTCATTCCTTTTAATATGAGCCAATGCTAAATATTTCAGCAGCGTACAATAGAGAATTGTATCATAAAACCAAATGCCTATATGCCATTTGTTATTATTTCTACCTGAGTTCCAGTAAAATGCATTCCACAGCATACAGTATTTGTTACCTTATGTATGGCATAGAGTTAACCTGTATACAAGGTTTGGAGATTGAGGTGATTTGCACTAGTGATTTATAACACCACTGCTGCTGTGACATATAATTAACACAGCCAGACTTCTTAGCAATGACTGGATGGTCCTATATCTCACTGATGTGGATAGCTTCAGCATCTATCTTGCTTGGATGGAAGGCTAACAGGAAATCCCAGAGCTGTAGGCTAGATTGGAAAGCAGATAAAACATTCTGGAAGACAGCAAATCGCTTCTGCCAATAAGACTGTCACCAACAGTCGAGTTTGATCAAGAGGATATTACGTTTATTCCGCTTTTCAGGACATTAAAAAAAAAAAAAACTTTCCAAGGCAGTTCGCATATGAAATTAAACCACAAAGTACGATTCATTTCGAGTTAATGGAAAACCCTAATAACAATCCAAAATACTTTCCAGTTTATCGGAATACAGTAATTTACAAAGTACCAAAGCAGCAGCATAAAGCCAGTGCAACCTGTCTCTAAAAGAGGCTTCCTGCTGGAATTTCTGCCATTCTCGCACTGCCAAGGGGGCAACTTGCCAAATGCTTTAATCCAGCACTAAAGCGCATTTTACTCACCAGCCCCGGAACGAGCGCGCGCGAGAAGCGGTTCCAACCTTCCGACCCACGAGGTCGGAACCAACACGCCTTCCCTGCCCGAAGCGTCACAAGCTGCGACGTACGGCTCCCCCAGAGGGTCACGCGCAGTCGTCTGAGAACGCGTTTCTCGAACCGCTGCTGGGACCAGCAAGATGCTTTCGCTGAATTTGCGGGTTACATATTCACTAGTTTTGGCGAGAGCTTGGAAAGGTGCTTCATCTTGAATACTTAAAATTCGGGAGCTTCCCCCAGATTTGGACTGCAAATATCCGACGGGCAACGGGGGTTGAGATCATACTGGGTTGGTATCAGAATACCTCCCTAAAATCTCTCCCATTAAGGTTGCAACATTTGGGCTTTTTAGTCTAGAAAGGAGGTGAAGGAGAAGAGACTTGATTGAGGCGTACAAAAGTATACAGGGTTTGGATAAAATGGACAAGAGAAGCTATTTTTCCTTTCCCAAAATACTAGAAACAGAGATCACCCGATGAAATTGAATCCTGGAAGAATCCAGACACACAAAAGGATTTTTTTCTTTTTACACACTGCATGATCAAAGGAAGATACACACAGATACTGACACCAAAACAAGCAGCCACTCAGTAACTCAACCCTCCACACACACACCCAATCCCCCCTTCTCCCCCCCTCAGATCTCTATAAATACCCACAGAAGGGTCACATTACCCTGGGCACAGAGAGAACTGCTCCTGTCTGTGCTCCAGCACTCTGAAGAAGCCGGTCACAGGTGCTTGCAAAACGTTAGGAAACAAAACTTCAAGAATACAGCCACACAGCCCGGAAGACCCACACCAGCCATCGTATGCCGGCCGTGAAAGCCTTTGACAATACATTGCATGATCAAAGTTTGTAATTCACTACCACAAGATGTGGTGCTAGCTACCAGCTTGGCTGCATTCAGAAAGAGGTTGGACCAATTCATGGAGGCGGTGTGATTGCCTCTGAAGGCCATCTGCTGGGAGAATAGTGGGCTTCCCTGTGCAGTTAGTTGGCCACTGTGAGACAGACTTCTGGACTAGATAGGCTCTGCTCCAGCAGGGCACTACTTATCTTCTGTTCTTACAAGTCCTACAGCTTCCACACAGCCACTGCTCAGCCCCCTTATTCAAAGAAAAATTTCAGAGTCAGCTTGGTCAGTAAAGTGAATATAATTGTAATGTTTATATAATCAAAGCTGCACTACAAAGATGTTTTGAAGTCTAGTAGCCTATTTCTTGATTGCATCCAGCTGACCTTGGCTGATTTTGAAAAGCTCAACAAGGTCAGGCCTCAGTGATATGTGACCACCAGAAAAATCCAAACCTACAGCTTAGACTGGGAAATTGGGGGGGGGGGGGGGGG